GTGTGTGTGTGTGTGTGTGTGTGTGTGTGTGTGTTGGTCTTTGTTTGTGCTAAATGTGCTTTGTTTATCACACAGGAGGCCGACACACAAACACACATAGGATACGACAGACAGAGAGAGACAGACAGACACATGGACATAAACAGACACACATTATCCGGGTCTTACTGGGTCTGAACGGGTGGTACACCGGGCTGGAGGTCCGTCTCTTCCAAGTGAGCAGGGACCGGCTCAGGCTCACGTCGCACCCCGCGTTTCTGACGCGGAGCTCGGACAGCAGCAGCAGCCTGCTCGGCCTCTCCATCTGCGTGTGTCCGTCCTGCTCCTGTCCTTCAGCCGGCTGAGGGTGCAGCAGCAGCCCGGGGACGGTTACCTCTGTCCGGGCATGTCTCTCTCTCTGTGTGTCCGGAGAGTCCTAAAAAATAACCCGAAAAATAACAATCAAACAGCGGCGAGACAAAGTAGCGGAATTCAGCTGTGGGATGTTTTTCTCTGACAGATAGCGGTTTCTTTACCGGAAGTAGGAGGAGCATGCTGGTGCGTTCAGGTGCTGCCAGACAACTCTATTTTCCAGAATCAGAATCAAAACCGTTTATTTGTCAAAGTATGTTGCACATACAATGAATTTTTACGTGGTGGATGGTGCATCACATTAAACAATCAACACAGTGCAAAACATAGAAACATATTAAAATGTACAATAAAATATAAAATATAGTGCACAAACAAACAGAAAACAGTACTTTAAACAAGAATAATGTAAGTGTAATTTACATTACAAAATTTTCTATTTCGTAATGCACGTATTTTGTTGTTCCATCCTTTAATGTGTGACATAAATAACGTTATTAACAGAAAAATAGATACTCAACTTCGATGAAATATTAAATCTATATTTGGATGTTTTTTGGTGGCTATACTGATTTGAAATCGATTTTTCACAAGATGTCTTTATATTGTACCTAAATTCTTACCTGGACAGATATATACTTCATGAGCTCTACATATATAATATTTAATAATCAATTTTATATTTAATTTAATATTTATTTGACTATTTCCTATTTGCATAACTATCTCAAGTGGAAAACCCTGTAAAACCTCAAACAAGTGTTAAACATGACTCTTTTTTTGGATAATATTGAAAATAAATTAGTTTTATTCAAAAAGTGGTTTGATTTTAATACATTATAATTGAATGTGTGCTTTAACCACATCTAAATTTTATGGGAATTGAAAGAAAGATGATCAATCTACATTTATAGACAGAGTTCAGATTAAAAGAGTTTTTGAAATCCAATGTTTGGGTGTCATTATGGACCCTATACTTTCTTATAAAACGTACACAACTTTATAGAAGTTGTATCAAACAAAGCAACGTGCAAGCGCTCCTCTTCTCACTGATTGGTTATTTGTGTTTACGTAAAATAGATTCATAATTCCAACATTTCATAAAGCACAGGAACGCATCAGAAATCGGTGGCGTCTGTCGTCAGTACGTCATCACGTCGTCTCACTGATCCTGGAACAACAGAGGTCCTATAAATAAATATTAGGAAATAGTTTTTAAGAAGTAGTTCAAAATGAGCTCCACTTAAAGCAACTACAACAGGGAAATCCAGTTTTATATGAACGCATGAGTAATAATACTAATATAATAGTATAACAGTTGTATAACAAATGGTTTGGTCCCCTGTTCAGGATCTTCCATCTGTCTTCACCCTTTCTGGACTTGTTTTACTTTGTATTTTCTGCCAGGAGGTTAAAGTGTGGAATGCAGCAGCTGTTCAACAATCTGAAAATACTCCACAAGTCCTGCATTCAAGCTCCATACCGCAGTAAAAGTATACGTAAAGAATCAACAGTAAACGTACTCTGAATGTGCAGAAACTGGTTGATATATCATTATATATTTCATTATAAGATTGTTCATTTTTTTTCTGTTGTAGCTGCTCGAGGTGGAGCCAGTTTTAACTGCTTTGTATACAGTTTGATCCAGTGGTTCACAACCTAGGGGTCGGGCCCCTCCAAAGGGACACCGGATAAATCAGAGGGGTCGTGAGATCAATAATGGGAGAGCAAAGAAGAAGAAACTAAGTTCTGATAGACACATTCATTTGTTTTAAACCTTTATAACCTTTTCTTTTTGTGTGTGAAATATAGTATAGTTTTACAGTTTTAGGCCTCAAAGTTTTATTTAAATGAAACCATGTGAGAGGTTTATTTCTTAGATAAATAGTAAATGTAAAGCTGATAATCAAAACATAGAAAATAGATACCTGCAAAATAAAAGCATACACAGTAAAATAGTTTTTTATCGGCCACTTGAGGAGCAACAAAAACTTTAATATCTTGATCAACGTTTGTTGGTTTGAAAGGTGTTCATTAATAATTAAATCTCTTCTTTCCATTGATGAGAACAAAATCATTGATGTGACATTTTTGTAATGATTACTGGAAACGTCTCAGACGCACTTTCCACACGAGACAAACTCGATGTTTTCAAAGACATTTCAGGTTATTTAAAAAAAAGAAACATTTTCCAGGATGTTTCCATGATTGGATAAAACCAGTTCCAGGTTTTCCAGGATGTGATGTTATTCAGAGACAGCAGGCGGCGCTGCTGCTGCACTCACCGCTCTGTGTGTGTGTGTGTGTGTGCGTGTGTGTGTGTGTGTGCGTGTATGTGTGTGTGTGTGTGTGTGTGTGTATGTCTGTAGTTTCTCTAAAAAAAGCTGTTCTCTGTTACAGATTTGAGTGAATTTTCTTTGATACAAAGAGTTCATTTTGAACCAATAAGATTTCAAACTGCCGTAAAATTCAACTCAAACTGGTTTAACCTTCAGCTGAATCTGAACTCTACAACTCAATAAAATCATATTGGTTTTAAATTCCTGATTCACCTGCACACCTGTTCAAAACCCCTTCGTGGTCACAAAGTCCGCCTCGTGTTACATTTAATGCATGTTTTGGGGATTTGAACCAGTGTACTTTGAAGTCCAGTAGGCAGCACAAAGTCAGCTTGATATTTTTTCCTTAAACCTGTTGATGATTATTTTGGCGTCGGCAGCAGATTATTAATACTAGAATTACTCTGGATGAGATTCATTTAACCTCAGACTCTCAGCAGACTTTGTCTCTGCATTGGTAGAAATATAATGTCTTCAATGTTGTTGTCTGGATTCATTTTTTTATTTCTTTTGACTTGAAGAATTCAGGGAAAAATAAGCAGCACATATAGAACATACAGTATGTAACTAGAATAACACACACAAATAATTTAAATAAAAATGTAAGGACAATTATGTTACAAAAACAAGAGTATATATTCACATAGCTATAAACAAAGTTCAGAGGCTTTAGAGAAACATATATTTTCCAGTATGTGTTTTACTTTTTTGTTGTTCAGTAGACTAAGTGAGTTGTGAAGAGAGCTCTAAATTCAAAAAGAACAGGTGTCCTGATGAAACTGTTGAATGTCTGATGGACCCAGAAGCTGATGAAGAACACGTGACGGTCCGTGGAGAAGAGTTGAGGCGGATTTGAACCAGAAGTTGAGTGATGATTGTTTTATTGTGGCGGGGTATTTGATGACGGGTGGTGGAATGAAGTACTCAGATCCTTTGATGAAGTAAAAGTATCAATACTACACAGTGAAAATACTCCTCTACAAATAAAAGATCTGCATTCAAAACCTTACCTAAGAAAGAAAAACAGTTTTCTGCTTTGTGCCGTGAGTTTTCAGACTTTTTATGTAATAAATAAATGAAAACAGACAAAATAAAATCAGCACTGTGACAAAAACACAAAGTTCGTCACTGACTTTTCGATGTGTTAAAGACTTTTATTTTGAAGCTTGACCCCATGACCTCTCTTGTTTCAGGTTCACACAGCCAGCAGTCGTCCTCTCCTCCCCCGAGAGGTGGAGGGCAGAGATGGATGAATCCGACAGGAGGCTCCTCTCCGGCCCGTGATGGATGCCGCTGCCTCAGACGCTCAGGACGCGGCGAGGGAGCGAGACAGCTTGGTGGCGAGGAGGAGGAGGAGGAGGGTGTAGGTCAGGGTTATATATAGAAAACAGATGATGAGCCCTCTGCTCTGCCCTCTTCGTGATACATGACGACAGCCTCTCCAGCTGCATCCACGCAGGTGACGTCATCTTAAATGGACGATTGGCGAGGTGGCAGAGCAGCTGTCCCAGCACAGCAGCGACTGACCCAGTAAAGTAAACTCCCCGCAGCATGAACAGGTCAGATGGAAGGTAAAAGGTCATTCATGGTGTAAAGGGGTCGTATTCACACAAAAAAAGCTGCTAGTTTTTGTTCTGAGAGTAATTTATAAATCACTTAAGGGCTCAAAGAGGCCGTCCAGAGGTCTAAGACCTGCTCACATTCCAGAAGTGGAGGAAGTATTCAGATCCTTTACAAAGTAAAAGTACTAATATCATACTGTAAAAATACAGGTATAGGTATAGTGTTACAGGTTATAGGTAAGTGGTGTAATGTCACTACAATTACTCAAGTACTGTAGTTAAGATACTTACTTTACCCGAGTATCTTTTGCAGATTCTAACCCTTCGCTTTCCTGTCCAGGTAAAACCACGTATCTCCAGATGTGTTGATGTTGAATGTTTGTGATGAACTGAAGGATGAAGTGTTCCTTTATGTGTTGATGATGAATGTTTGTGATAAACTGAAGGATGAAGTGTTCCTTTATGTGTTGATGTTGAATGTTTGTGATAAACTGAAGGATGAAGTGTT